TTTATCCTTGAATTATCCTCATAAAACGCGAGGACGCGCGAAGCGATGATATCGTAAACGTAACGACTTCATACGCTGATCCTAATTAATGTCGCGATAAAATACGCCTACGGCGGGATCACGTGGACACACCCAGGATAGTTCTCTCTCGGAAGGACGAGTTGAATGGAGGATAAATTGCTCGACAATAAAGTCTCTCTCATAGTCCCGCAGTGGCATCGCGTTTTGAAATTGGGGTGGAATACCGTTGGGTCGGAATACCCCCGAGGGGTCCGAACACACAATGGCGTTCTGTGATGCTCCAAGTTGTTTACGTCACAAACTCCGAGAGGGGAATAAGGGCTGAAATCGGAAAAAAAGGTAGACTACATGTTGCCGCCTCTTTTTTATTGACCCGATTTGACCGCACGATTCTCTTGTCGCCGAGAGAATCCTGTATAAAGCCGAAAGTAATCGAGAATCTCGTCCCGCGATGTTCGATTCGGTCGACATAAATCTGTCACGATATTCCATGAGCCGTTTCGCACGCATCATTACGTCATAATATCGCAAGAGACATGCACTCTCAATGTCACGTTTCGATTTGAGTATATTAGGTATATGTGTCCTCGACCAGAAATCTTCCAGATGTAAACTTTGTCATCCCACTTTTAATAAATTAAATTTTCAGTACAGAAAATGATAGTATTTTGTCTGTAGTTAAAGCTATATGTTTATTATAAACGAAAGGATATTTATTACAAATGATTTCAGTCCAGTATATACCAGCGATTTTTTTTTTTAAAGTCAGGTGACAATTATTTTTTCGAAATAATGCATTTTTTATGGCTTCAATTATGAACGAAATTATTGTCATTGCAAACAACTACAAACGAGATACTATCATATTCTGTATTGAAAACCTAATTTGTTAAATGTCAAATTTACACAGGCATCTTTGAGATATATTTTAATATCTCTATATATATAATTCGACAATTAATAAAATTCGACAAGATAAATCTTTAATTAATAGTTTATTATGCTTTTGATTTATTAAACACAAGATAGGATTTGCATCGACGGAAACGCTAATGGTTTTTCCTCTGTTTTCTCTCCCCTTTGAAGAAATATAAAATACCGGCTTTATAAACTTTCACTGGTGACGGTGGATCGTTGGCCGCGCTCGGTCGCTGGTAGCAGCTGAAACTTTTAATAAAGCGATCGCAAATCTCATCCTCCCCTCTCGATGATAGAATGAAAAGAGAGGGGAAAGAAAGTGACCCTTTCGATCCGTCGCCCATTTGCTATTATACCGCATCGAAGTTATTCTCCCGAATTGAACGCTTCTTTAAATATCGACCGACTATTAATCGGATTGTAACATAAATGTATGAATCGAACGAGATGTACAACATTTGTTGCAACGTCATAATATCATTGTCTTTGAAACGCGCGTTTAACATTAAATATTTTACGTCGCGATAATTAATAATTTTACGTTATTAATTTTGCACGTGTTTTTTTATTACGATCTATCTCTGACGCAGATAAAAAGAATTTTTTAATAACATGGCAATGAATCTTTGATAAGGAAGGAATATATGTATCGTTGATATTAAAAATAATCAATTTTATTTATGTTTGTTTAGTTTAAATTTTCTTAAAAAAAAAAAAAAAAGTATATAAACTTGAGAGGATTGATCTGACAATTAAATCTAATATTTTCACGCGAGCGAGAATTTCTCTTCCGTGATACGGAAATAACATTCCGTAACTGATGGATGCATTTTAAAATATCCTCGACGGACGAACCGGATGTTGAATAATTGCGAAATTCATCTCATCTTCTCTAGCCGCAGATTCCCCGCTCTTGTTTTAATTATAAGTCTCTCGGAGATATTATACCGCGCGCAATCTATCCGACATATATTTCGCGGTGCGTCCGAAATTACGTTTGATTTATGGCACGAGTAATGTTGCGGCGCTTTATATAGTAATACTTCATCGATAACATCTCTCTCTTTCTCTCTCTCTTTCGCGTGCGCGCGCGAGCGAGCTCACAGCCTGAAATTGGATCAGTAGCTCGGTGACAAAGCAGGTGCAACATGGAGCACATTCGCTCAGAATGAGAGTAATTAATGACTGCGGCGCGGACGCGCGTCATAACGATGAAATGCGTCGACGGGGAAATACAAAAATACGATCTTGATTTTTTTAAAATTATATTTATAAGAACGAGCGACATATGTATATGTCGGCCCTTGTCGAGCAAACGTCGATCATCGATATAAATTTGATTAAATAAGCACGATAATCACATTTCAAGAGAAATATAATTAACATATCTCTGTCGAATTATTAATGGTCCATTTTGTTTTATATAAAATATATAAATCAAATAATAATTTAGAGTATTCTTATTTTGTTTATAATATTTCCATAATTTGATATATTCTTATTCTTTTATTTATATGTATGTGTCTGTAGAAAGAAAAATTGCAATCAAGATAGACGCGAAATGCGGCAATTTTATTGGTGTCAAATTCTTGCCTCGCAAACGGACGAATTAACGAAATATTGCATTTCGACGGTCGCCTAATCAATGCTATAAGTATAATCGGATAACACAGAGGAATTACCTCCGCTCGGCATCGTTGCCTGATAATTGACACGCGTCGCATTGCCGGCGAAATCGAAATAATGCATTTGACGATGATGCGTGATCGCATTATGTCCATATGATTAGCGCACATGCACTTTCGCATTGACGGACAATCTGACATTTCAGCGATAATTTTATATCGAGCATCATGTGTGCATTTTAAAGATAAAAAATTAGTTTACAGTCGCAAAAAAAAAACAATAAACTTTTTAATCACAGCTTCTTTAGCCGGACAGATATCTTTTCAATGAAAATGTCAAATATAACACTATCATTTATCGCAGCTCTCTTTCCGAGCATCGTATAATATATTTTCCTAACTGAAAAAGAAAGAGAGGGAGAGAGAAAATTAAAATCCCGTTAAAGTAAAATCCGTCTTAAAGATTTACTCGAAAAGTATGATTTTTCTCCCTCGAAGTTTAATTCGCCGGAAGCTCGTCAATCGTTAATCACTCGAAAGCCTCGTAAGTGCCTGGACATTGTCTCGTTGAGGGAAAAATCGATTCCGAATCGACGAATCTCTAGAAGAATCTTCCAGATAAAAAGAACTGCATAATTGCGCGATTCTTTTTTCTTCCTTTTTTTTCTTGCGAACCCAAACGGATCCACGTTTGCGGCTCCTGCGGTGCATCCGCACCTAACGGCGCTGCATACGTGCGATGCAGACGATGCGGTATGCGGCATGCGGCGCGTCGCAGGACCGTACGATCGTTGGTGCAAATTGCAGCGAGGGCGGAGGGGGATGAGAGGTGGGTAGGAAGTTTGAAACCCGTCAGGAAGAGAGAGAGAGAGAGAGAGAGGGGGATAATCCGATCGTTCATTAATCCGGGATTATTCGAGCGCGAATGAGATACATGCTCGGTTCGGTGCTTTGCAGAATCCAAAGTGCGTAAAGGCTACTTATTGTTAAATCATCGATCGAATCGTTTTCATTGCACGCGAATGTAACGCCGATGTAATGCTAAATAGGAATAGTATTCGATTGCCGATATCCCGAGCTACCAAGTAACAATATTTTACGAAACGTCAGAAATAATGAGTAATGTCGTTATCACGATTAAAATTTCATAAAGATAAGTGGATAATAATATTTTTAGATATCGATTATATCGATTATGGGAGATACATGGTAAAATATTCTGCCGATAGACTTTCGTACTACAGATATACGGAAATGATTTCCGAGTAGCCGGTGGCATTAGAACCTAAAAATATTATCGGAGCGATAAATACATTGATCAGGCAACCCGAAATTAGAGCGCATAAAACTGTCCGCGGTCGTTCGCCCCGCGATGAAAAATCGTGTCATTCGGACGTGCCCGCTAAAAGGACGCGTTATAATTTAACGGATAAATTATTCATACGTTAGGGCTTACACCCTGCCATTACGTGGACGCACGAGCGGAAGGGCGGTAGCGTGGACGAGAATTATGAATATTCAGAAGAGTTCGCACGTCGTAAATTTAAACATATCGCTTGTGTTTCTGCGACGCGGACATGTAACCAACGCTCTTCACACCGACGCGTATATTTTTGCTTGTTTTTTTTTCTTTTTTCTAAATTCCGTGACAAAATTACCCCGTCGTATTTTGCGGCGACATCGATCGATAATCGATCAATTCCGAGCGCTTTATTAAGCGCGATTATTATTAGCCGCGCAATACCAAGTTCTCGACGTAACTGTCACACAATCTCGATAGTACTCGCGCGATGCAATTTCACGATCGGGAGGGAGGGAGAGCCGGGGATTGAGGTTTAAGTTGCATTCGACTTTACCACGCGATCGCAATATACATGCATATGAATTCGCTTTTGCCGGCAATGCCGAGATACACGTCACCAAAGGACTCGCTCCCTTTGCCTCTCGACTCGCAATTTTCGCTCCTTGCTGCACGGAAGCCGAATTAGAAGAGGCGCCAGGAATCTCTTTCATGCGTATGTGCATGAGCTCGTTGCGTAAACCCTCTGCAGGATCAACCGCAGAATTCCATATAGTTGCGCAAAACGAAAGAGAATTCTCTCGGTAATAGCTGTCATATGACAAAGATTATGGCGCGCTAAGAGCACGAGAAAATTTAAAATAAAAGGAATAAATCAAATTAATTAATTAAGAATAGGAGTATCAAATAACTCGGATCTTTTTATAATAAAGAGGATTTGGAATAAAAATAAATCCAAGCCTGCTTACGTAATGATAATAGAAACTTATCTCGTTTATTACATGCGTGTAGTAATCGCGATTCGAGATATTTTTTTATCAAGTTTTTTCGTATTGCTTAATATTTGTGTCATCGGATATGCAAAATGGATTATTAAACTTGATAATTATATTTAAACATGACTTGTGATTTTGCAGGTGCTCAAAGGACCGTTCATGTGCTGCACAATTCGGAGCAGCCAGCCTCGGTATTCGCTATTTTAGAATCGGGCAGCAAAGTGGTGCCATTGATAGCAGACGGCCTGTTCGATCTGCTGATGTTAAAAATGACGAATATCTACACTAGTAAAAAGCAGACGAAGATCGAGTCGAAGGGACCGCGCTTCGAGATCGGCGACTTCTGCGTCAAATTGGGCAGCGTGACGATGAGTCAGAATTTCAAAGGCGTCCTGGTGGAGGTAAAAGCGACACTCTCTATTTCTCTCGAAAAGAAAAGGGATTCCCCGAAAGCGACGAAAATCCGCCCGTCAGCCGCGAATTTCTTTGTGATCCGCAGAATTTCCACTTCTTTCTCCAAACGATATTTATCGTTTTGAACTCTCGCCCCAACGTAACGGATCATCATTACTTTTAACTCGGAAATTCATTTCTCTCCCAAAAATTCACATTTAAAAATTATTTTCCTACCATATAAATATAAGAGCGAACTTATTCGGGATATTATGGATGTTTTTTGCTTCCGTTCTTTGATCTCACCGCAAAGATCACTTTCCGGAATCTAGATCGAATGGAACGCGATCTCGTTTGGTTTCGAATTTCTGAATCTCGCCGAGTGCAATGAATTCTTGATCGGGAGATAGGACGCGTTAGCCCCTGCTACTTCCGGTGTTCCTTGCCAATCACGCGATGAGCGTGCATTATCGATTGATAGCTCACGAGACCCCACCTTACATACATGCAAACCGCATACGTACGCCTGTTATAGTTATGCTTTAGGGGCGGCACGTGAGCGTCACGCACCCCTCGCATCCTCATCACGTCGCATGGCGAATACGTGTCTCACGTGTCAAACTCGCCGCGTCAAGATATTTCATGCTGTCACCGATCCACGAGCACCGCACGAATAATCGCTTAATTAAGTTCGGACATCGACGATAAATCACACTGTCGGTTCATCAATACATGCATATATATGATTCCCTTCCCCTCTTCATGTATTAATTCTTTCATTTTGATGAAACTGATAACAATTTTTTTTCTCTTACGAGAAAACAGACCGATGTAGGAAATTGAAGATTTAAAATAAATCTTCGCCAAACATTTTTTTTTATAATTAACATGCCAGCACGCGCGAAAAATGATAATATTTAATAATTAACGGATTGTTATCGCATCGAATTTTAAAAACTGTCGTTATACACGGCATATACGATCGATCGAAGGCAGTCGCGTGAACACACGCGAATATTTTATACGCGCCCAGCATCGTGCAACGTGTTCACGCACGTGCGAACGCACGCGCAACCACGTGCATATTGAACGCTGCATTCGGATGCACTGTGTCGCGCACCTGTAAACATACAAGGTACATATTACACAGTACGTCATTACAATTGGTCGCTTGCCGACATTACGGGCTTATTGTGCATCCGCGTACATTCAACACAGGACCGCGATTTTGCCTACACAGTGTGTCTTTTAAAATTATCGCTTTTCTTCTCGTTTTATTTATTAAATGTCAATATTCGTCGCGGCAATTATATAACACATTCAATCGACTCGCATTCAAACCAGTGTTGCTCATTTGAATAGCGTAGTGTGTGTCGTAATAATTAATAATTTTATTGCATAAATCGCATAAACATATTTCTCTCGAATATTTCTGCCTCTATTCTCTTGAATAGAATTAGTGTATTATCACAAAAGCAATGAATAGTTACCGATGATGTTAGTTAAAATATAGTATTACATATCAGTGTAATATCACTGAAAATCAATTGGAGATAGTGGCAGTTTCAGTCAGTGATATTTTAAAATGCGTCGTATATATTGTAGTTCGTTCCATAGGTTTTCGAATAACAATAGTCGAAAAAACATTTGTCGGTACATTTGAAATTGGTTATAAATTGGTTTATTTTATCTCATTTATTTTGATCTCATTTGAAAGATAATTTAATACCGAACAAAAAGTTTCCCATATATATGCGTCGAAAAATGCTTCCTTAAAAAGTTAGCGCCCAAAAACCTCTAAAATCACGGTTATTTTTTACATTTTTATAAATATCAGGGGAAGTATGCGTCTTTTAACAAAAAGTACCGAAACAAAAGTTGTAATCAGGGAAAGTATGCGTCTTTTAACAAAAAGTACCGAAACAAAAATTGTAGAAAATTAAATTATCATTCAAATGAGATCAAAGTTATTGTATTGAGTTGAATGGAAAGTTCCTGCCGTTTTTTCGATCTTCATCTCTTGGTAACAAACGGAACGAACTTTCCGTTCAACCCAATATTATAATGTTACATATGAGATAAATTTATAATAATATATTTTGTTAAAGAGATAAATTTAGTTTGACCAAGAATCTTGTTTATTGTTTGTGGAAAAGTAATACTTATATAATTCTCAATTTTTAATGAATACTAGTTATATGTGTTTCATTCCAGATACGTATATGTTTTCCTAAAAAATTAGCAATTCAAAATAAAAATAGATAAAGATTTAAAAATTTTGCAACGATTATTCAGTGTAATTTTACTGCTATAATCATCAATGGGATACATAAAACGAAGGAGCAAAGTGCGAGTGTTTTTACTGAAATCTTCGGTGAAATTTGCATCATTGCTTTAATCGCTGATTCAATTTGACAGAGTATTTCTTGAGAAATGTAAGTACGGCAAACAATATTCAGACATCACTTTTATACCAAATTTGCAAGAACCGTGGAAGATTCCGTGTTATTTCCTTCTTTTTTCTACATCACGGCGTTTCACTCTTCGGCGCAGCTTCCGATATATTTTCCGCAGCTCGCAACAGATTCATCCAGCCGTGCCACACACACACACACACACACATACACTCACACACACACACACATACATACATACATACATAAATATTATACTCATGTGTGTAGACACATCCGATACCGGCTTTAAATGCTTCAGCGGCCATTCGTATCGGTAACTGCGCCGTTTGTACAGCGGCCGCGACGTCAAATACGTCACGATAACCCCCCGACTACCCCATCAATTTCAATGGAGAAAGCTCCGCGAGGGTCGCGTTAAATCTCGCAGCCCCTCGTCGACCTCCCCGAGTACACTTTTTCTACACGGCTTCCTGCCCCCGAGAGCGGCGAATGCTTCCTTCCTTCCGCTCTCCTGTTGGCCACCGGGACTCCCGCGCTTAACTGCAATCACTTATCAGCGCATTGCCAACGTACGGTGCAACCGTTGCAGCTTAACATCGATGACCCAGAAAGACGCGCACTTTTCATTACTGTTTCCCAAAGTGAAGCGAGGTATCGTTACGTTTCGCTGCTTCGTGACACGCATACCGGCGATTTGATACACGGCTGCGACCCGCAACCGCGATTTTTCGCGTGCGCGAGATTCACTGCCGACATCATTGAATGCGCCAGCACCATCCCGTATAATGCTATCTCGCCCGGCTATGCACGACCGAATTATCCGGCGAATTCCGCATCGCAAATTTTAGTTTAATTGATGTTCTCGTATAAAGGATAATCTCGGAAAAACTCGAAGACTTTCACTTAAGAGATTTAAATATTTAGATAACATATCTCAACTCTTTGTATAATAAAATCAATAGAAAAGAGATTATAATAGAGAGCATTTCTCTTGCTTGTAAAATGTTCGTAAAAAAATAACGAGAGATGCGCGAAGAATTTACCATCCAGCCGCACTCGCGAGATTGAAACTCTCGGGATATAAAATTACTGAGCAAATTTTCGCAAGTCAAAAAATGACAGCCGACGAGTTCTCTCTTCCTCTCGGCGAATCCTCTTCGTTCTCATTTTTCTAGTTTCATTCCGCTTATCGAATTGCTCGGCCAAAGTACCAATTTTGCAGCCGGGCGATATTAACTTTCAGCCAGGCTCCCTTAACATAGTTGTAAGGCTGAAGAGTGGAAGGAGAAATAGTGAGGGGTGGGGGGGGGGGGAAGAA